ATTTTCACAGAGGTGCACAGAGAGAAACGAAAGAGAAAACAATTTCTATTTCTGCTCCTTGTTTTTCCTATGTGGAATGTGTTTGGAGAATTATTTACCTGGAGTGAGTGCTTGATTGGATTCTGGTGAGGATTGTTTGAGCCTGATGGCCAATCCAACCCACCTGGGGCTGGACTCCAGTGAAAGGGTCACGAGTTGGGTTAGAGCCAGAGAAAGTAGTATGCAGTTTTAGTAGCCTCCTTTTATATAGTATATTGATGTGTTTTAGCATAGTTATTATAAAGAAATAATTCAGCCTTCTGAATGGAGTCAGACATCCTCATTTCTTTCCATTGGGTTCGCCTGCATTTCCAATAGAGCAGGGATGCCTGCACAGCCACAGGCCATGCCAGCAGGTGTGCACTGCTGCCAGCAGCACAACCTTCCCACCTTGTTCCCAGGACAGCAGCAAAGCAAGCCCAGTGTGCCTCATTCCAAGAAAAGAAGGGATGCAGGTTTTCAACGAGGCACATTTTGGCAGCTGAATGAGATGGACACTGTGAAGTGATCAAACTAAAGCACTGAAGTAGGAAGATGAGCTAAGTGTCAGTCCATGACATAGAAAAAAAAAAGAGGAGGAAAATAGTGAAAATTCTCAGTGTTTCTATTCCCAAAATGAACCAGAGAAATGTTTCTTGACCTCAGGGAAGGTAACTGGAGTGTGTCAGTAGGCACTGTGTGAAAGCAGTAGAGACAAAGTGGATGTATAAACACCACTGAAGATCAGAACTCTCCAAAGACATTTTCTTCACCCTTAGTTTATCAATGTGTGACTTCCCATTTAGTGCCAACAGGAGCATCAAGGACACTCCCTCATTCCCACAGCACTGGAGAAGTAATTCAGATATCAAAGTATTGCTTGGAAAAACTTCTTAAAAAAAGGGAAAATAGAACCAGATTTCCCAGAGAAACAATGACTTTACATAAATTAACTGAAATTCACATAACGAATCTACTCCATCAGCCTTTATTGAGCACCCTGGTCTGAAACTATGGATCTATAAATAGCTTTATAGTGCTGTCAGTTTGTTACAGCTCATGTAGCAAAATTCTTTCAAAAACAGCAGTTATTCTTCCTCTCTGGAAAATTTCTTTTTCAAGTGAAAAAGGCAGCCCCTCCACGTGGCTGCAAATGAGGAGCTGAAATGTATTTTCATTATTAAATGGCACCAGCTGGAAGATTTTCTGCCTTTTACTGTCTCCAGAGTCTCCCTGAGGTCACCCATCTCGGAGAGCACCTGCACACAAAAACAGCCTCAAAAAGATATTTCCCACCTGCCAAGCCCCCGTTCTGCATGCAGGGAGGGTGTTTGGAATTCCTGGTCATTGGCTCCTGTCTCTGCAGGATAAGGCAGGAGTGAGGCCATGCAGGTTTGTGTGTGAGGGAAGGAGCACAAGAAGGAGAGCCCTGGCAGGGTCAGCCTTGCAGGGTGCTCTCCTGAACTCTCCTGAAAATGAGCCAGGGCATGGCAGCTGCAAAAGGGAACCAAAAGTCCCTGTCCAGCAGTGCAAACCCTGCCATGCCTCAGATGGTGTGTTACACATCAACGTGTTACAGATCTATTTCCAAACCATGTTGTTTCTCAAAGCCAGTCTCACGGAGAGCTGGTGCTCCCAAAATACTTGCACCACATTGTGGGAACTCGAAATGTCCCTCAGACATTTTTGGAGGCTCCAGGCCCAGGTCAGAAGCATTTGAGACCCTGGCAGGCAGCTGGAAACAGCTGTGATTTTGGGTTTGAACCATGGAATGATTTACCAACCTTGTAGGAAGAAAAAGAAGTCACAAAACTTTAGATATTATAGTAGAAGTAGTTACAAAGTAGGGGGAAGAATTTTTTTAGTGCTGTAGAGGGGACTTTAGTTTTGTACATGGGGTCAGAGGTTTTAAGATGGAGGGATTTGGGCCTGCCCTGTCCTCCCTCTTTCTTCTTCCATACCTCCATGTTCTTGGTGATGTTGGCACTCACAGATTGGTTTAGAGTAGAAAAG